ACATACTCAGTTTTATTCTGATGCATGCTCTAAGGTCTTATGAATACTTATAATAAGATGGTTAAGATGAAAGAAATTTGATGGATGATAGTAAAAATGACCTTCAGTATTTTTCTTTGATCAGAAACCTAAATCTTTTATTTCTGACTGATGTTTTTTTTAGGGCACAAGGGATGTTTATTGTCTAATAAGATTGAATTAATTTTTTTAGTGCAAGCTGTTATGTACAATTCACCCAAATAGGGGAATGTAGATGTTGAAATTTTACATGCTTTCCGTATTAATCGATTTAATTTTTCTTTATCTTGGTGTCTTGTTTTTCTGGACAAAAATTGATCATACTTTCTATGGTCGAATGATAGAATATTATGGACATCAATGTATGATCAACTTTAAAATACATGATCTTTCTTAGAATAAAATAGCCTTTTGTTCACTTTTTAATGCAGGAGAGAAGTGTGGACACGCCAATTGAGTTTGTTGTCAATTGTGATACCCAAATACTTATAATCTGACACTTGCTCGATGTTTTCACATTTAATTTTGAGTGGCTGCAGGGGTAGTTTCTTTTTTCTAAAGTCAAAAATTTTACAACAAATAGATTAATCATTATTTGCAATTTAACCCAACATACATGTAGTTATCAAACAGGCACTTTGAATGATAGAATAGGGGACTTGTTGACAATTTGAAGCAGAACAACACCCCCCCCACCCAAACAAACAGTAGGACAGAAGCATCAACTCTACCTGACACCGAACATCACGCAAGGCCAAAACTGACCACATGAAAGTCGAAGTCAAAGTCAATTGCACATCGTTTTCAAACAGTTTCCGATATCACCGTCGAAGAGACAAAAAAAAAAGAAAAAAGAAAAAAAGAAACCAAAGACATACAAATTTGAAAACAATGTAAAACAAACTTTCATTGTACATGTAAGTTCAAAACAGCTTGACCTATAATTATCCTGCTAAGTTTACACACTGATGACACAGATGTAGTCCAAACAGCTACGCGTTTAAATTTCTCACAGCGAAACATGTTCGACTTTTCTTTGTATCGTCCATATTTTACAGTGACAATAATGTGTTTCCTCCTTAGAACTGGTCTGACTAGGCGTTTCTGAAGGCCAGCCAGCGGCTAGAGTGACTGACAAGATCTTTATCTTCCCCGGCTGATCTGATAAACCGTGCCATCTCAAGCATGACATATCATGCCCACCCTTTGAAAATCCTCGTACCTTCGGCCCTGTTCTGCGGCTTTCTTCTTCTCTACGGCCAATTTCGGCGGATGTTTTTATCTCGCAAGAGAGTAAGTGCCAGAATGGAAAAAGCTTTACGATGGAGTATTCATTTCATTTTCTGTTTGTTTTAGCTTGTGTGTGTGTGTGTGTGTGTTTGTGTGTGTG